CCCAGTCTCTTGACACATCTCTCCTCCAACAGAGGCAGGTAGCAAGGATGTCAAGAGGAAAGGTTGGAGGCATTCAGCCATCTCTCCGTATCAGCCACCTGAGGCAGTTGTCTCCTTCTGCCTAACAGTGGGACTGGACCTGAAGAAAACAACCAATATGGAATTCTATGATTTCGGGACGCATCCTGTTTTAACACAAAAGATCACCTGCTTAGTGATCTGTGCATTATATTGCTTTTTAAAGGCACTGGAACAGTGATTGTGAAAAACATAGCTAACATTACTTCCTCCCCATCAAATTATTTTATAAAGGGCTCTTGATTTTTGTTGTTTTCAGAAGTACTGAATAATATACTGCTTAGTCAGAGCAACCAAAGTCCAGTTGGACTGAGGGTAGTTGGCAGAAATGGCAGCTTGCTTTTATCTCTCAGGAGTACCACATGAGCTTCTATTCTGCAGGCAGTTTGAAAGTACTTATGGTCTGGACTTCATGTTCATTAGTGAGTTTGTTATTCTTTGTTGGGGGAGAGGGGGAGCCAGAAAGTCCTGAGGGAACATTAACAAGTGATCATCAGGTCTGGAATTCATGTGATACAGCAAATGGGACAGAAAACAACACAGTTATTTTTAAATTGAATGTCGTTCCTAATCAATGTAGGTTTTGCCCTTCGGTCTAAGTCTTAAATGGGGAAACCAGATGGGGTTTTAACCACACTTCTTGTTGGTGTATAGAGATGGGATGCACCATTAGATGATTCATCATCTGAATGACGCACACTCTGTCCCAACATGACATTCATGAAATTCTATGAGGAAGAAGTCCTTTTCTGGGTGAAATCTGCAATTAGAAATTAATGTAATGGCCTTTCTCAGTCTTTCTGAAATGTTTGGATACCTTTAGAGGTAGCTTTGTTTGAGGGTGTGTGTGGCCAGTCAGAGCAATAATGGGAATATGCTCCTATTCGTTACTATCAGATTTTCCTTTTGCATATGGAGTTCTGGTTCTGGTTCAAAAGGAAGCGAAGAGAAATATTGTACCAATCATGGTAGAAGATATATGTGAGAAGAAACATGAAGATAATGAAGACTTCACTTGAACAATTTGACATTCCTCCTTCACCATTCTGTGAAGTTACACCACAAAAGGAATTAAGTTGCTTGGCACCGTAAATCACAATTAGAGGAGACTCACTGAATCAATGTATGTATGTATGTATGTATGTATGTATGTATGTATGTATGTATGTATGTATGTATGTATGTATGTATGTATGTTTAGTTAGTTAGTTAGTTAGTTAGTTAGTTAGTTAGTTAGTTAGTTAGTTAGTTAGTTAGTTAGTTAGTTAGTTAGTTAGTTAGTTAGTTAGTTAGTTAGTTAGTTAGTTAGTTAGTTAGTTAGTTAGTTATTACCATCTCTGCACCACCCCATTAGTATTATCACTCTCTGGGCAGTTCACAACATACAATACAATTATACACTACAAAAACCCATATGATAAAATACAATAAAAATACAATAAAATATAATAAACCCTGTCACCACCTAAAACAATTAATATGAAATCTGATCCAAAGATGTGGAAATCAGTTAGACTTACTTATAAGTAAACTTTAATGGGGTAACACTCTCAATCAACTCTAATCAGCTGCATTGTTTTTGGACATGGTTATAGCTAAAATGAACAAATCAATCACAGGTGGAAAGAACAATGAAGAAACAAACCAAGAATGGAGGGAGAAGAGGGGACAAAGCATGTTTTCACGATGGATCCCCTTTTACCAGTTATAAAACAATGAATACACAATGAAAGGACATCTTCAACTGTTCAACATTTAATCATCAAAAAGATGCCATCTGCACACTAGTGCTTATATGTGTAATAGCAATATTCTCATGAATTTAAGCATCATTTTGCATTTCCTTTGTTCAGCAAATCCCTCAATTATTTGGCCTAATTTTATTTCCTCCAATTTGTTCATATTCAGTGGATAATATCCCTAAATAACAAATATGTACTTCTGCCAAAATCATCTTCATCTTGTATTATGTGAAACTGCACATACAACTCTCAGCTCATCAAGTGGTTGCTGTGCCTTATAGATAAACAGAAGTTGTGAATAATAGGAAGTCATATATACAATGGAAGACTACTTCTTTAATATAGTACATTCTCCTTCCTCCAATTTCTTTCATTTAACCCATCAACAGCCTAGCAAGACCCCCTTAATGGTCTGTATTTGTTGTCTGAAAGCAAACCCAGCATTACTGAAGTTGACCTTCCTTGTTTAGACCACAGGTTCCCAACCTTGGGCCTCCCGATGTTCTTGGACTACAACTCCCAGAAGCCTTCACCACCACCTCTGCTGGCTAGGATTTCTGGGAGTTGAAGTACAAGAACATCTGGAGGCCCAAGTTTGGGGAACACTGCTTTAGACCACAGGTTCCCATCCTGAGGGTTAGGATCCCCCACAGGGTCAAGAATTGTTTTCCAGCCACAGTTATTTTTAGTTGCAATTATTTTTATATTTATTATATTAAATATGATAAACACAGTGCTGTTTTATTTTAATTCTCTTGGACTGCAGATAGATAATTTTAATCTGGTACTGCAGGCAACCTAGAATTATTATTTATTTCTGTACCCCTTTGGGTGAATTCTCCTTTTATGCATGAACATCACTCCTATCCCCTTTGAAGAAGCTGCCCTTGTTCATTTTTTTCTGCTCCTCCGCATCCACCTTTGGAGGACTGACATAATCCATATGGACTGGAGTGTTACCCCAGCTCAATGAGGCCTGAACTAGGTGTCTGTGTGGTGCACACCAGGAATGCTGACACCCAAGTTGTTGCTGCCATAGCAGTGGTATCTTTCGCTCCACCTGAGTCTCTGTCTTTTCTGGGAGTGGCAATGGTGGTACAGTGAACGGAGAGGGGATCTGGGCAGGGAGATGCCTCTGGACCCTGCCTAGGTCATGGAGGAGGAAGCAGGATGGGCAAAAAAGTGAGGGAGGAGAAATGATGGGGGAGGTATTTTGGGGGCTTGAGGGGGAGGAGCTCTTCACTGAAGGGGCTTTTGAGGGGGAGAAGAGACATGAAGGGGGGATCATTTCTAAACTCAAAAAGTAAACTCAAATTATATTGACATTTTTTCTTCTCAAATTTTATTCAGTACCGACAGATTTAAATCCCCCATAATTACATATTATTATATTAACATTGATAGATTAGGGTAGAATTAAATTCTGAAAAATCTATTTTAATGTGTTTTCTTTACTCCATTAGAAATGCCTTTTTATACAAATATGGTGGAGTGGTTGCAGGTTTCGTGGCTATCTTAAAAAGGGGTCAAACCTGAAAAAGGTTGGGAAACAATGCATTAGACAGAGTGAAGCAGCCACCTTAAGCAGTAGTTTTGGAGAGATATCGCCTATTATTGCCTTTGTATTTGTTTGGACCACATGGCTTATTTCAGTACATTGGAGAGTGAGCATGTAGCCATTCAGAAGAAATGTAAACTTGGATTCCGCCCTCTGAAAAGCAGAATGATTACATGAGCACATTTTCCCCTTTTGTAAATGAATCACATGCACACTTCTTTGTAAGAAAATAAGACAGCTTGTATTTAAAAGCAAAATATATTTGGGATAAAAAAGCTGAGAAAGAGGGTGCAGTACCACGTTCTGGTGAGGGGAAGTTTCCAGGAAGTGGCATCACTTCAGGGAGGAAAGCAAAGCAGAGCAGGTTCCCTGTAAGACACAAAGCCACTTGTGCCTCATGGCAGAAGACGCAATATCTCAACAATAGCTCCCAACCCCACTGCTGCAATCTTTTGTGTGTTTCATTTATTTTAAATGATAAATACAACACTGTCACTGTACACCTATCAATGACTTTCTTGGAAAAGTGGGCTTGCTTCTATCATGGTGGGAAACCATTTTATTGATAGAGTGATTAGGTGGCAATTAAGACAGGAAAGACTGACAACCCTCCCCTATGGATCGTAACAGATTCTTCTTTAGTGGGCTTGCTTCTATCATGGTGGGAAACAATTTTATTAAGACAGGAAAGACTGACAACCCTCTCCTATGGATCGTAACAGATTCTTCTTTGTTGTTGTTTAGTCATTAGGTCGTGTCCAACTCTTCGTGACCCCATGGACCAGAGCACGCCAGACCCTCCTGTCTTCCACTGCCTCCCGGAGTTGGGTCAAATTCATGTTGGTAGCTTCGATGACACTGTCCAAACATCTTGTCCTCTGTCATCCTCTTCTCTTTCCTTCCCACTTTCCCAACATCAGGGTCTTTTCCAAGGAGTCTTCTCTTCTCATGAGATGACCAAAGTATTGGAGCCTCAGCTTCAGGATCTGTCCTTCCAGTGAGCACACAGGTTTGATTTCCTTCAGAATGGATTGGTTTGATCTCCTTGCAGTCCAGCGGACTCTCAAGAGTCTCCTCTTAGACCCAAGCAAATCCTTACACACAATGATTTCAGTTTGAACTATTAGCTCCAGATCTGATCGGGATTCCAAGAAATAAGCTCAGAGCGTATTCTCGATCATTAAGAAGACAGTACCTCTGAGCATGTGAAGCATTCTTCCTCCCCATACCAGCACCACTGAAAACAGTTAGGACTTCTACACACAGGTAGAATTGGAGAAAGTCTCCCAGGTCAAGGATTATAACCTGGCAGAAGAGGCAAGGAGTGGAAGGGGACACAAACTTTCTAGTGCTGGGGAAATTCTGGAAGTGGCCAGGAAAGGAATGGGGGAGGATTTCGGCCTGGCTTTGCCCCTCTTGAGACCCGAGCGTGTGGGCAAGGCGCAGAACCAGAGCGGCACAGCTGCAAATGGGGACCCTCGTCATCGCCACGCATTTTCTCACCGTGTCGAGAACGCAGTGTTACCATGGGTTACCCTATCAGTCAGGGGACAGGGAGCCTCCCCTTCCCAAGTGCTCTATAAAAAGCATCTGTCGAGGGAGAGGAGGGGGAGAAAGCCCCGAGCAGGCTGCCTCGGCTGCTGCTGCTGCGCCTCGTCCGAGCAGGCAGGGGAAGAAACTTCAAGCCCTCGCGCCGAGGAAGCAGAAAGCGCAGCGACATGGCTTGCGGGCTCGCCTGTCACCTCCTGCTGGTCTTCCTGGCAGCCCTCGAAGGGGAGAGCAGGTACTTCGAGGTGAGCCCAGACCACACGGGGGCCGCCGCCGCCGCCCTTTCCCCTCCTCGCCCTCGCCCGTCCCCCCCCTTCGGCGTTCTCTGAGGCGAGAGACGCCGCTGCTTTCCCGCCAACCCGACCCTCTCCGCCGCTCCCCCCCCCAACTTCTCCTTCCAGGCAAACTCTCTTGCCTCTGAGGGCCACTTGGGCGGCGGGTTGTCGGCGCCTTCCCTCGGGTAAGACTTTAAACTCTCGGGTTGTGAAGATGCGGTTCGCTCCTCGGAGTTGTGATTTTGCTTTTTTTTTTTTTTTTTGCGTGTCTCCAGGCGAAGGACGAGGTGGCGGCCGAGGAAGAGCCCTTCCTGCTCCTCAACGCGGACCTGAAGCGGGAACTGTCCGAGGGCCAGCAGATGTATCGCCGGGCGCTGCGTGAGTCTTCGCCGGGGGAAAGCGGAGGGGAAGGCACGAGTGATTTTGCGGGCGGTCCGGGTTGACGAAGGGGAGGCTGAACTCCCCAAGGCGGATGCTGCGAACTGTGGCTAGCGCCGGAAAGGAGCGGGTTGAGGCTTGCCCGTGGCTGCAGACCCGATAAGGACGGGAGAGTCGCGGGTTCGAATCCCGCCCCGTAAGACACGAAGGTGTCGGGATGACCTTCAGGTAGTTACTCTCCCCGACTAGCCTGACCTAGAATAGAATAAAATAGGCTGGAGGGAGAAAAACGCCTGTAGGATGCCTTCTTTCCCCCAGCTCCGCCAAGGAGGAATTGAGAGAGTAAAGTTTATTCCAAAGGGAGGCGAGGGTTTATGTATTTACTGATCTTTGCCTTAATATTGCCGGTTAATGCTGCAAGATGCCTCGAGTCTTTGTTTGTAGTTTTAAATATCGTCTTTTAAGGTTGTTTACCACCGCTGTATTGTTTTCAAATTTAAATATTGTCTTTCATTGTTGTAATCCACCTTGGGTCCTTTTCAAGGAGAAAGGCTAGGTATAAACAAACAAACTATCCACCAAAGAACCATTTTGGAATGCCAGAGTCTAAGGTTGTTGAGAATTTTGGAGAAAGTGATTCTAGACATACCCAGAATGCTTTATAGGGGAATCCGCTGACATAGGCTTCCGTTACAGAGACAAAAAGCTACCTATTTTTATAGCTTCTTCAGAGAGAGTATTTAGTAGAGGCAGCTTTCTGATTTCTCTTAGTTAGGCATTAAAACACACACAGAGAGAGTAAACCAGCCCTTGTCCCCTTTTGGATTTGATGTTCCTGTGTGAGGAGAGAAGACTGAGTACTCAGGATAGGGAAGATCAGAGTAGTGGAGAAAATGTGGACTTGGAAATGATATAGGTATTTTAAGGATTACAGAGGGGAACTCTGAGAGTTGTAGCCCCAAAAAGTAACATTCCAAAGGTTCAAGCAAAATATAGAGCCCACTTTTCTGTTGCTGCTGCTGCTGCTTTTTGTTTGTTGTTTTGTTTTTTCTGCCTGAAAGAATCCATGAATCAGAAAAGGTTAATTTAAAAGCACAGGAATTTGCCATCTCTCAGATCAGATTATTTCTGCATCAATTCCAAAAATTAGGGCCAAGCCAAGAAACTTTGCTTTCTCAGATAGAAAAGCAAATGCTGTGACTTCCTTAGCCAAGTCACGATCCTTAGTACCTAGAGCCAGCTAAGGTGTTCTGGCACATGAGGAAGAAACCCCACAAGCAGTTCTCTTGCTCAGGGGCAGTAAAAATGCAGTAAGAAATTAGATATCAGGCCATTCACTGCCCTTTCATGATACTCCAAATCTGTTGCCTGAGGCAGCTGCCCTTATGGCAGGGCCAGTTCCTTTAGTATTGCCTGATCTGTCAGCAGCTGGTGAGCTCAGATAGACGTTTCTTGCAGCATCCATGTAAGCAGGGCCACCAAGGTCCTTATTTCTTAGAACTGCATGCAGTAGAGATCTGAACTTGATCTGGGGCTTATTTAAGGGCTGATTCCCCCTTCGGATTTTGTAGTAAGACTTAAGTAATTAGTTGTAAAATTCTGTGCTCCTATTATACTCTCATTAACATGCCCATCTCATGCACACATGTTTACATCTTTTCTTACACTCTTATTGCATTCTTTGTCTTACTATTAGGGGAAGTGGGAGACTGCAGCAGGCAGCAAATATTGTGGGGCACTGACTTCAGCAGGTGCGTGGGCCAGGTGCCCTGCCTTGCATCCCCCTAACTAGAGGACACTATCACCACTGTTTAGAGCTCAGAAAAGTTAATTTTTAAATATTTTTATTATAGCTGTTACAGTCACCTAGCCAGTAGTAGCCTGGGGATTCCAGGAATTACCATACCAGGCTCTGGGAGTACTGAAATGAGATTCAGTTGTCAGGCTGATCAGCTTTTGTGTATGGAATTAGAGGAGCAAGGTTGCCATCTTGTCCTTATCTCAGGCAACAAAATGTTTTGAACTTATTTAGCATGCTTCCAGGTGAAGCTTACATCACACAATCATCTTGCCTCATTCATTGATTTTGGCAGACAGTTTAGAACATCTTGTTTTCCTATTTGTAATTCCACAGTATTTTCCCATTGCATTCCTACTCCCCATTAGATACACACATACGCACATGCACACACAAACACACACACACACACACACACAAATTGGGAGGCAATGAGAAGATAACTACACAAGTGTCTTTCCACTGTTGGTATTCATAAACCACTGTTTGAAAGCACTTTAAATGTATAAAGTTAAATGCTTAGAATTGTCAGGAGCAAGATCTCTTTCTTAACTGCCTACTCTGAGTAGTTCAAACAGGTAGATATATCCTTGATTTGAAGTTCTTATACTTTGTCCATTATGACAACATGCTTGCACATTTTGCAGAGTGGTGTATGTGTGTGAGCACAAACTGCAACATGAAGATCAGCCCCTTTTAGAAAGGACATGGTCATTTTCTGTTCTCATTTGCAGGTTGCATTGACATGTTGAGTCTAGAAGGACAGTTCACCTTCACAGCTGAGCAGCCGCAACTGCACTGTGCTACGTTCTTCATAGGTGACCCACAGGAGTTCATCATGATAGACTTTGATTTTGTCAACATCGATTGTCAAGCAGGAGATTTCCTAAAGGTAGAGAATAACTGATTGTCCAAGTAAGGCTCTCCAAAAAGTGTGAGCATGTGTGTAGAATGGCAGAGGAGAGGGAAATAATTATGCAGGTCACAAGTTGACTATTCTCAGAATCTACTTGAATGGCACTTGATTAAAATAAAATAATTTGGCATTTGTAGTGTGAATTAAAGCATGGGGAAGTTATTTTTGTGAACTGCCTCTCCCAGAATCTCCAAGGCCATCCTGCCTAGGATTGTGTGAGTTTAGAGGGAATTTGCATGAATATTTGTCCTGCTGTTTAGTGCACTGATGGATTGGTCCACTCGTATTTCCAGCGTCCACTTGGACATCACTGGAGCAGACCAATTTGCCATAACCTGTACCCTTTTGAGCTCTTTTGGGGGAGGGGTCTTAATATTTTAGTACAGGCTGGAGGACTCCAGTTTTGTTCATTCCCAGCAAGTGCGGTTGCTTGGAAATAACTAAACTAAAGCCTTGCAGCTCCTTCAAGTGTCAGTTTCAGGTATTCTGAAGTAGCTTATGAGCCACTTCAGGATATCAGAAATTCAGTCCTTCCATTGATTATAGAGTGTCATGGGAAGTAATATTTTTTACAACTTCATTTTAAACTTTTTCTTTGACTGTTTGTGTATCCCCAATCAAAACTGCCGCTACAGACAGTTTCTTGATTGGCATTACACACAGTCAATTTTTTTAAAAAAAATGTAAACAAAGTGATTTATTGTATCAGTGAATCAGTTATGATCTAGCAGACATAAAAACACCGTAATTTCACTTCCCCTGACCCTCTGCAAATGATCAGGGGAAGTGCCTAGGCTTACCTCCCAAAGACCGGTTACAAAACAAGCAAGCTGATTTGCAAACTATGGAACGTGTGAAAATATTGTGCTATGACAACCATACATCCTTCAGCACTGAAGGGGTTCCTTGTTATAATGACATGCTACCAATAACATAATGTATGACCCTCAGTGTTTGTTAGGTAGACTATCTACAATGAGCCAGACTATATGGGTAAAGTTGTAAGTGTCGTTAACCCTTTCCTTAAGACCGACTGAATGTTTGGCACTAAGCTGAAAAATGAATGTCTACTAATTAGCTTAAAAGCATTCTTCGTTTTCAATTTCCAGTCTGATGTCTTTTTTTCATTCTCAATTATACCAAGTAGTATTTAGCTTTATTTTGAGGCAACATTATCAAGCGGTGGAGTATAAATCCTAGATGAAAGATAATGTGAGTGTAAAGCTTGCATTATCCCTCACCTGGGTTTTGTTGGCTAAGACCAAGGGGAACAGCAGTTCAGTGACAGCTGCAGGACCACATGTTACCTGTCCTTGTACTATAGCAACATTGCAAGTGTCATAAACAATTTTAAAAGCAGTTTTCAACTCACCAGAGGTGGGGGGGGCTAAATATGATCCTTCTCCATAATGCCTCACTCTTAGGAGTGTGCCTTGGGGGGTGAGAATGGACAATATGGTGAACTGCATTTCTCTAAGTACAAATTGCAGCATATCCTGCACTTCAAAACACAATCAGAACAACAAATAGAAAATAGTAGTATACTTATTGCACTAAAAGCTAGTCCTAGAAAAGTTTTGTCTAGGTATTATTCTCTGATTCACTGGCACATGAAAGCATTTTAATTTCCCTGGATTTAAAAACTCCCTGGAGAATCTTGCATATGTTATAGACATCAATCAAAATGGAGATAATTTGTTCAGAGAACACTACAGGGTGGATATAATTTGGTTCTATGTGCAAGAATCTCTGGATCAGGGCCATTGAGGGTAATCTAAGATTTCCAGAGACAGTTTGGGGGGAGGGAGAAGAACTAGCACCTGTTTCTTTGCATCTAGTATAAACTTCAAAGTGAGACAAATGTGAAAGCAACAGCTGAAAAAGAAACTTCCATAAATGAATACTGTCACTAAACTGACACTGCGTATTGATCACTTGGATTATTCCGATTTTAAATGCCAAGCTTCACAATATACCCCCTCTAATTAAGCACAATTATTAAAACATTTGAAGTGAAAAACTACAGAAAATGTCAAAGTAATTAACTGCTGCTTTATGAAGTGGTGACACGGCTACTCCTTTGAAAAATTATTGTGGATGTTAGTGCCAAGTAGTAGGCCGAACAGATCAGTAAAAGGTTTACATCAGCAGTGGGAAGTTGGCAAGGGGGTAAGGGAGGAAACAGTCCTATAACCAAACATACAGCAATAACAATAACAATGGTGGCATATAACAAAAAGGATGATCACCCCATTGCTTTTTCAAGCAGTCCTTGATACATGGAAAAGTACACTCCTTGAAAGCACAAAGCATTGAAATGGAACATTCTTCTGCATCTTCATAGTCAGTCATTGTATTAAATGTGATGAAAGTATAAGCATGCATTTGGTTCCAAATAGAATCATGAAAGGCCCAGGCTTTGCTTGCCTGTTAATAGGTAACAAATATTGTGCTAAAATATTACATGCATGAAATTGAGCTGTTTAAGTTATATGCTATGGTTAAGACTTACAAAAATACAAAATGTTAAAATTTGTCCAATTACAGAAGTTCAGAAATTCTTATGCAAAAGAATTAGGTAAACCCTCCTCCTATATTTCTAACCTTTTCGGAATGGGTATTACTGGCAGGATGAGTTTATACAATGAAACCTTAGTTCGTGGTACAGCTGGGCTACACTAGAGATGATGTCAACATGAAACAGTCACTGCAAAAAAGAACAAATATGCTGTGATGTTTGTGCAAATTGTTTTTTTTTACTATAAAAAGCTCCATCCACTAAAACCAGTGTTTACTTGCAACCACTGGAAAACAGATATTTAATTAAAATCACAGCCTTGGAAGAGCATATTCATGAATCTCCTACACTATGCACAGTTGTGGTATAATGCTGAATGATCTATAGTTCCTTCCTACCCAAATGAGTTCTCACCTAGATTAGAGAAGTGTGATTTGGTCTTTAGGCTCCCAGAGTCAAGCCACTGTTGGAGTTCAGCAGAATTAATCTGGAATAATTAACTGCATGGATGTAATGTGTGTCTTGCAAGGAAGATCTGTAGGAAAGTGTCAACTTGTACACCACTTGGGTGCTACTTTCAGCTCCTAGGATTTGTTGGTAATCTGTAAATACTAATTGGGCTCTCCACTGGTGCCTTCCTCCAGGTGTTCGATGGCTGGATATTGAAAGGTGAGAAGTTCCCTAGCTCCCTGGATCATCCTCTTTCCACCTCTGAAAGATACATAGATTTCTGTGAAGCAGGCCGCATTAGGAGCACTATCAGGTCATCACAGAATGTAGCCATGATCTTCTTCCGGATTCACGATCTAGGAAATGGATTCACATTGACAATAAGGAAAAAGCCCAATCTTTTCCGTAAGTATTGCTTTATATTACTTACCTGAGTATAATGAAAATAAAGGAGTGGTTATACCTGTGTCAGAAAGTAGGAGGGGATATACATTATATTTATATGGGTAGCACTGGGATAACAACATGGATCATTCCTAAAATTTGTTGTGCCAGAAAACAAATGCACAGGTAGTATTTGTATTCATTGTTCCATTGTCAAATGATATCAACGGAGACCTATTATTCTGTCATTTCAGACAGTCATTGAGTATTGTAAATATTTGCATCAGGGTGCCAGTCATGCACCTCCAATCATTAATCCTTTCTAATTGAGATAAATGCATGAGTTTCTGTGGCAATATTCAATTCATTCTGCTTGATGAGGACTGACAAATGATTTTTCAAGCAGATATTCAAAACCCCATAGTTATATTCTTAGAGCCTCATTAGCTGAAATGCTGATTCCATATCTAGAAGCATCGTACTCTCATGAGGCAAGTGCTGTCTGTTTATTCTAACAGCAGCTAGTCTCCATCTACTTTTAGCAATCAGCCTGCTCTTGTTTGTAATTGGTCCACTGGGAGATAGCATAGCTTTGTTTGCATCTCTGATATCTCAGGCATGTAGCACTAAAGATTTGAATTGCCTGGAAGGATAACCTTGTCAGAAGAGGAAATACATGTTTGTATTTATGGAGTATGACCCATAATATTCAGAGTATCACTTTTCATTGCACAAATTGTGACTAAGTCATTCTGTATCTTTCCCCTGGATTAAAGCTTGCAATGTCATCTCTCAGACCCCCACTGGAAGATTTACCATGGTTATTCCTCATCAGCACAGAAACTGCAGTTTTTCCATAATATACCCAGTGGTGATAAAAATATCTGACCTTATGCTGGGACACTTGAATGGCCTTCACTTAAAGGTGAGTTCTTTCTTCATTAGATATCAGCTATGATGTTAATACGAATAACCAACTTATGCTGCAAGCTCATAAATCCATGGGTTGTTGATATTTATTCTAACTGATCTAAGGTGCAATATAAACTTGTACAAACACCCTCCAACAGAGGACCTAGAAGGTTTCATGAACATTGGAAAAATACCTTCTACAGAAGAGCTCAACTTACAGTTGTGATCAAATGACAGAGGAACAACAAACTGAATCTGAATCTGGACCAGCCAGATGTGATGCTAATCACTTGGTGATTGGCAAATCTATTTGCTACCTCTGATGGGGCAGAGATTCCCCTTGTGAAACCAGTAAAGAGCTTGGGTGTTTTATGAAATCCAATGCTCATCCTAGCAAAAAAAGTGAAAGCTATGGCCAGGTCATCTCATTGATCTTTGTTTGCTGCAGAAATATTCTTTCTGCCTAGTGAGAACTGACATGACCACATCAATCCAGGTGCCTATGACTTGAAGAATAGACTGTTGTAATTTGACTTTGTTGGATTACCCTTGGTAACAACTCAGAAGCTTTGAATGATACAGCATGGTTTTCTGAATTCAGTTCAAGATGTTGGTTATTATTATCTTTAAGCCCTTCATCATTTGGGGTCCACATGCCAACTGGACTCTATAAATCCTTCATTATTTCAGCTTCATTCATAATGCTGCTTTACCATACCCAGGTTTTAGAGGAACCAACTGCATGTCAATACAACCATTGTTTATTTTTGGAGTCAGTTTTGAACTAAAACTTCAGTGTGCATAGCTACAAGCACCTTGAATTTGTTTTCAAGTGAGTCATGTTTGCTACCACCTATACTGTATACAAATATTTGATTTGTTCAGTACGTTTGTGCTTTGTTCTGTATCTTTCTTTTTTCTTTTTCTTTTTAAAAGAAGCCCTCTGCAGGTTGTGGGGGAGTTGGAGATTTTGTGGAGCTATTGGGAGGAAATGGCTTAGATCCTTCTAAGATGTTCCCGTTAGCTGATCTGTGCCACTCCTTCCATGGCCCTGGTGAGTTAGTTTTAATGACTATTATCCAGATCTTTTAATAAAATGTTATAAATAGAAAAGACAATTTACAAAGTCTGTAAGTTCTAAGTATATTTGTTGTTGCCCTGCTCTTCTGATGTAATACCATGTTTTATGATACCATGAAGTCACTGTTATCTAGTGGTTAAATCTTGTCATTTAATGTAGTGAGTTGCATTAAAGTAGGGTCTCTGACTCGTTGTGGATTTATTCAGTTCCTCTGTAAGTTCCATTGAATCAAATGGCCTACTTTACTATAATAAGGCATGTGAAGAGTTGTAAACAATATCCTAGGTTTTAATTACATGTACTGTACATGTTTGTTCTGAGTTTCTTTTAAAAGGCAAGAAACAATGGGAATATTTTGGTGTCAGCAAATGGTAATCTATTGGGATAATGTCTCATTCCATTTTTACAGTGAGTCATGACAATAAGAAGCAGAACTGGAAAATTCTGGTTATCAGTAGGGAGGCAACACGGGAATTCTTAGTGAATTCAGGAAATAATAGATCCTTATTCCTAAATGTAACTGTTCTACATATTGGCTTCTCCATGGGGTCAATAAATACCATAAAAGTCAATCATTAAGCAAAATCTGCCTAGATTAGTCCTAATTTAATGAAGGTTCTAAAGTATTAGTCTGATGGCAGTGTGATGTTTTACAATACAGCAAAAATGGTGCATAGAGGGCTTTTAATGTGCATGCAACACTTTTAAATTTTTAATAATTTTATATTAATTGAGGTGCTTTTCATTAGTTTTATCTCAGTTATCTTTTAATTTTATAACTTGTTATGTTTTAATATATTAACTTAATTCTGTTTTAATATATTAAAAGTTAATTTTGTTTTTATTTGTACCTGTTCATAAATGTGATCTGATCCACCCTGGGTCACAGATCTGGAAGAAGCAAGACAGAAAACAAATAAATAAAGAGTTGGGTTTATAACATAGCTTGGAAAGTAATCAGAACCCAGAACTGTTGTTAGTAATTACCTTAAAAGAGCACTTTACTTCCTTGTTCTTTGAAAGCAGAATTGAAGAGAATTAAGATACTGTACTTTATTTTCTAGTGACTTAAAAATCATTTGCAAGCCACTTGCCTGTGGTACAGAATGTGCCATCTTTTTCCATCCACCTCACTGTCAACAATCACAGAATGAGCCAGCAAGCAGCAATCTTATACTCCTCTTCCATCATTCAGTGAGGCCACACTCCTATAATTATAAAAAGTAATTAAAACTCACTGATATACTGTAAAAGGAGCAAAGCTATCTCTCACTAAATTATAATAGTAAAGTAATAGAATTACTTTTTCATTATTTTAAATAGAAACAACATGCAAGTAACTAGTTTCTACAAGGCTCTGATGTGTACGATAGAATGAGTCACAAATCAAATGGACAAGATTCTGTGCTTGCACATGTTACACAGTTACAGTGCATGGCAGTTGCATGTGGTCATCAACAATGCTATCATAACCAGCGGTTAGGAATGACTTTTTAAAATGACATGTGGCAGGATACCCTAACCAGCATGGGCATATCTTTGATTATCCTGTGAAGATGGTCTTCTGGGCTGCAAAAGGCACTATGTGCAAAACCTAGTACTTCAAAATCTCAGCTGACATTATTGCACACCACAACGTTGGTAAATGCACCTGAGCAAGTAGCTGTATTTGCCAGGAAGGACAGATACTTGGATTATGTTCATACATGTAAAGCAAGAACATTTTTTCTGTAGCTAGGCCTCCAACACTATCTAATGGCTGATCATGGATTTTGCGAAGGCAGCTGGAGGCATTGTGATAACAAAAGATCTGTAGATAAAAAAGTTGAAACTCAGTTTGTATTCTGCAGTTAACTCTGCTCAGACAAAATCTACAAATGTTGGCAAAGTGTCGCCAATCATATACATTATTGAGGTGTATAATATAGAACTACTGAAATGAGCCCTAGTCTAGGTAGTGTTGCATGCTACAGTATATATATATGTAGATTTATACAGGGACGAAATGTGTATTTCTGTGTCTGTTGCATTCTCCACATTCTGTTCCAAATGTATGTTGAAAATACCACTGTGGATTAATCAAATATTGCCTTTCAATTCCTTAACAAAAGAAAATATTTTCAGTCCTTTCTTTCTGCCTTCTGCTAGCACCATTTTTTCCAGCTAAGGATGACCATAACAAATGACAAATTAGAATTCATTTAGTAAGTATGGTGGCATCATCACAGCACATGGTAAATTAGATTTGTCAATTACTGATAGCACTGAAGACAAAAGAAATACATTTGGGATGAGGACATTAATTCCTGGATTGCTGTCATGGTTTGTCTAGCCAAATTGTGATGATAACATTGCGAATAGGATTATGTTATGATGCTGTGTAGCCAATCAGACTGGATACATGCTTATTCCAGTGATGGCAAATTAAACCCACTTGGACTAAGTCCAATGCTTTCAGAATAGGCTAGGTATTTAATTCCCATATGAAAGCAGCCACTGAAGCATCAGCATACATGCGTGCTCTTTAGTGCTAATGGATGTGCTAGAGAAACTTGCTTCCCTTGCAGTAATGAAAATTGCCCAAAACTGTAAAGTCAGGTTCAATACGGCTCATTCTGTGTAGCACAAAGCACTGTTACATTGGCTGCCTCATACTCTACTGACCACAGGAACCTAGAAATACACCCAGGTGCATCTCCATCTCTAATTCACAAGTGTGATAACATGATAATGTGTAAGCTTTATCATCACACATTTCAGCTTTTTGGAATCTGGGCAACAGACGATTAAAAAATTATGTCCAAATGTATTTTTAACAGGACTGTAAAAATAGGGTGTAGTAACTGGGGCTTTGCCCTAAGGTACCAACATTTAGAGGGCTCTAATATCTTGAAATTAATCTACTGATGAATGTTAGGAGAATAAACACCTGGCAAAATTAACCCCCCCCTCTCTCTCTCGCATACACACACACACACACACACACACACACACACACATATCCTTCCTTCCTTCCTTCCTAAGATTTCTCTTTCTTTTGAAGAAGCATGACATTCTCTTCCTCCTTTTTCTTGTTTGGAGAGCCTCATGCCCATGCATTGGGATGTGGAAGGGGAAGACAGTGCCAGTTGCTCAAGTGCCAGTAGTTTTAACTACTGGTTTTGAGTGTTTGTATCTGTAAAGGGTTTGAGCAACAAACCCATCAATTTGACCGTTGGGTCCTTTCCAGTCTATAGTCCTGTGATGTTTCCATATCAATTCTTAGGAGTTCTAAACATAATAAGGTGTCCTTTCTCCTTGATTAGCCCAAATGAAGATTGGCTGTGACAACACTGTGCTGAGAATGGTCTCCAGCGGCAAACATCTCAATCGGGTAACGTTTGAGTACCATCAACTGGATGAACATGAACTGGAAAACAGAAAGGAGAATAGCCTTGAGGAGTTCTGTCTTTCAAGTGTCTGAGAAGCCAAACAAGTCACTCTTTGTTGAAATGTAATGTTAATTTTGAGCAGCTAATTTTATGAAACTGTTCTAGTGTATAAACATTTGTCTTTTCATAATAAATCATTATTTCCATGTTCAGAACAGTGTTAATCAGAACATTTGCAAAATATTGCCTACCCTCTCTAAGTGTATTTAATATTTCCAATATACTCAAATCTGTATGAATTCCAAAAGGAACAGTTGGGGACACGTACAGCTATTAATTTAATCAAAAGATAAGCACACATAGAAAATCAAAATGTGTGTGTTGCAGTGCAAATATTTTTTTCTAACACTTGCTTGACTTTCTGAAACAATTTTCAGTGCACATGCAAAATTTAAAACACCATGAAGTTTAATCAGCAGTTTCTCACCCTTTACATCTGTTGCAAGTGCTTAAAAGACCCATATGGTGAAATTACCAATTTTATAAGAGAACATTCTGTATTAGTGTGTGCAAAACTAACTGCTTGGTAATTTATTACTACACTATATGTATGATTGTTTTTAATAAAATTTATAGCATGAAAAATGTTTCCCTTCTACTTGTCAAGACATGAATAAATACATTCAAAGAACTGTCAACATCTAATTTCGTTGAGCTTTCTCCTCTCTGTATTTCCTGTCGGTAAGGCCACAGTCATGCCAGGGGAATATTCCCCTGTGCTAACAATACTTTCCATACCTTTGTTGTACCGAGTCGCAGTCACGTGATATATATACCTGGACAAACATCCCAATGTGTTTTAATGTTGCTGATTCATTTTCTCCTATTTGAATTGTTACAGCTGGCTACATCATGGTAACTATTTATTTTCTCTCTTGCTTTCTGGGATACGGCAGCCCATGTATTTATTTATTTTTTGAAACAATATGTTGATATGTCTAGTAGGGGTTCCTGTTCAGTAAAATTTCCTCAGTTGCACTGGTGCCTCTGGAAGAACTGCACTGCACTCAATGGACCTGGCAATCTCATCCAGGGCTGTGTCACCTGCCAGACAGTTGGTAGAGTGATGCAGCACTTACCAATGCTCTGGCATACCTGGCCACTGACATAGGTTTACCTATGTATCAACATACCGGCTGTGATTTAAAACAAAAATTATAGCAGGGCAGCTGTGCAGCAGTAATGGTGGCCACCTTCCCCAGTGACTTGGCTTCATTAAAGGAATCAATAGGGTCATGCATACATGTCATACTGCTAAGGAATACTGTATTTTTCCGTGTATAAAATGGCACTTTTCCCCTAAATAATCTGAAAAAAAATGGGGGCCGTTTTATACACAGAAGGCAGCTCTTTACCACTGCCATTTGCGAAGGCATGGGGCTTTAGCAAAAAGGAAGGGGAGGCGTTGCTCCCTTTTTTGCTAAATTCAGTGCCTTCTCAAAAGGTGAGGGGCGCTTTAGCAAAAAGGAAGGGGAGGCTTTGCTAAGCTCTGTGCCTTCTCAAAAGGCAAGGAAAAGCAGCAGTCACTTTGACAGCTGCTTTCCTTGCCTTTTGCCAAGGCACGGGTGTTAGCAAAAAGGGAGCCCTTTGATCCTTGCTTTTTCAAATTTGGGGTTAGAAAAGGGGGGGTTGTCTTATACTTTGGGTCGTCTTATAAACTGAAAAATATGATACAGTGGTGCCCCGCATAGCGACAACAATCCGTTCCAGAAAAATTGTCGCTATCCAGATTTGTCGCTATGCGAAAAGAAAAAGCCCCTAGGAACACATTAAACCCCGTTTAATGCGTTCCTATGGGCTTAAAACTCACCTTTAAGTGAAAATCTTCCATAAGGCTGCCATTTTTGCTGCCCGGTATGCGAGGAATCGGCACGAAAACACAGCAGGCGGCCATTTTTTTCCAGTGGCCATTTTGGAACTGCCGATCAGCTGTTTTTAAAACATCGCTATGCAAAAATCGGTAAGCGAAACAGCTTACCGATCATTGCAAAGCGAATTTTTACTATTAGAAACATCATAATGCGATCGCAAAAACGATCACAAAAAATCTGTCGCTATGCGGATTCGTCATTAAACGAGGTGCTCGTTAAGTGAGGCACCACTGTATATCAAAATACCATTAGAACAAAATAATTGTATATTGTGTATGGTGTATTTGAAATGGTCTGAAGACCTCTTCAATAAAAGTTATTCTATTTAGAACAAAATAATAGATGGTCTGAAGACCTCTTCAATAAAAGTTAGAACAAAATAATATAAGCCTCCTGACGAAGAGGAAATAAACTGCAGTTGCTGGCCACATAAATTGTTTGATAATGGTCATGCGTTGAGTGACCGGATATTTATGCAATAATCTAAGAGGAGTATAACTAGGGAACATTTCCCCAGTGCAACTACAACCTAGGTAACTTTCTAGGAACGATCATCATGGGTGTCGCTCACTGAAAAAAACACTACATAAAACAGGTACAGTCATGTGGACATCTGCTATGCTTGCAAATATATGAAAACCCTGAGAACAGGCATTGCTTCTTGAACAAGTTTTTAATATTGTAAAATTAAATGAGCACAAGCATCCATAAACAGGGACATGACAAATGGATGGTGACCAAAGGAAGAATCTTCTCAGTAGAGTCTATCGTCTCTAGAATGCCTTTTTTTTCCCATAATAGAACCCACAACATCCTCATTGCAAGCATTTTAACACCAGACTATGGCTTGTGGTAAGCCTTGATTTCTTTTTATTTTATCAACTGCTAAAGTTTTATTGCTTGATCTTAATATTTTAATGTTCTATTATTTTAACATTTCAACATTATTACAACATTTATAAAGTTATCCCCTCCCCCTTTTCTGTTATTCCCAGAGTATTGCCAGTTGGATGATTTACAAACATTTTTAAAATGAAGGAAATAATAAATTGTACTGCAGAACTGAAGAAAGGTTTGGGCAATTAGGAATAGGAATTCTCTTAATCCCATAAGTGTATGTTTCTTGCACCTGGTTCTGACTGGTGGACTCTAGCAAATAACAAAGTAGATTATCTAGCCTGGCCGAAATCCAATTGTCTCTCCCACCAAGATTTACTTTCTGTTGATTGACATTACAATTCTGTGAACATCTAATTAGATTACAGAGAGTTGTAACTAGCAATTTTGGTGTCTAGGGCTTTCCTGCACTATTTGTGTTCTTCCAGCAGCAAATTCCAATGAGAAGAACTGTGTTCCTCCAACAGCAACATTTTGTGTCTTCTACATTTTAAATTCCTTAGGTCAAAGTCCAACTTCACCTAATCTAATTATGGCTTCAGGATATCATATATATCGTATATTTCCGTGTATAAAACACTACTTTTTCCTAAAATCATTACAGTAAAAATTGAGGGGCATCTTTTAAACAGAAGTAAGATGAGAACAAAACGGCCTGTACCTTGCCTCTGTAAACAGGCTTCCTTCAGTCAGGAGGCTTAGCTTCCTACAGTCACAAGCCTTATGGAACTGATGTCAGCTGATGCTGAACAAACCAATTGGAACACACCTCGCTGGAGGTGGAGCTGTAGACAATACTCAGATTCAACAGGGACTCAAAATGTCTGACCATTCTGAGCCCAGAAACTGAATACTCCAAGCTATGTTTTCCTAATTTGGGTGTTAGAAAAATGTGGGGGGTGTCTTATAAACGGGGGTGTCTTATAAATGGAAAAATAGGTAGATCACAATTTTGTATGGATACCTATTTTAATATTTGATCATGTTTTATTGACTGCTATGCTTAGACATACTCAGATTTAGTTTACCAGTCTCTCTGGGGGCACTCTGATACTCTATAGCAGTGGTCCCCAACCTTGGGCCTCCAGATGTTCTTGGACTTCAGCTCCCAGAAATCCTGGCCAGCAGAGGTGGTGTTGAAGGCTTCTGGGAGTTGTAGTCCAAGAACATCTGGAGGCCCAAGGTTGGGGACCACTGCTCTATACCTTGCCCAAGGCCACACAGGCTGGCTTTTCTCCCAAGAGAGAGCTAGGACTCAAATTCCCAACTTCTTGCTCTGCAGTCAGCTAAGACATCTTTAAACCTCAGAGTGCTTTTAAGATCTGGGATTGAATGCTGCTGTTGTTACATGCTGTCAAGCTATCTCCAATTTATGGCAACCATATAAATGGGTCACTTCCAAAATGTCCCATCCTCAACATCCCTGATCAACTCTTGTAAACTCAAGGCTGTGACATCCTTTATGGAGTCCACCCATCTCACATGTGGTCTTCCTTTTTTTTCCTGCTGCCTTCAACTTTGGGATTAAATAGTGACATGTCATATTAGAAACTGGCGGATTATATGAACCAGATGACATATCACTCTCCCCAAGAAAAGAAAAAGAAAAAAAAACCAGAAAGAGACAATTGCATGAAATGTACAAATGCTAATTTGTATGTATAGATGCACACTGAGAAATAATTTACATAAATTATACAGAGATAGTGTACACGTCATTATGATGGGGGAAATTGTGACTGTGGCCTGTTGACCTGTGTGTTTGTTTTTGCTCTACTATCCAGATGCAAAGCTTTTACTATTCCTTTTCATTGTTCCATAAACCAGATTTGGAACAGACATCCTTTCAAATATAAACTGTTCATCAGCAGCCCTTCAAGGAAAAGATTGCCCTCTTTTCAGCGCGACATTTGATCTCTCTGTTCCAGACTGGCTAGACGTGGTGTAAATGCTAAAAGCCAGATTTTATGCAGACACAGCTATAGACATAACCATCCCATACAACAGAGTGCAACACATTCTAGAACATCTCTAATAGAAAAGTTGCTTTATGGACTACAACTCCCAAATTCCTTGTGCAAAAATGGCCAGTGGGCCAGTAACTTTTCCAAGTTCTGCCTTTAACACTAACTCCGCATGTTTATGGTTTAAGAGGATTAAAGTATTCTCAGGTTTGCCCCTTCATGAACAATGAAACTGTCCTCCTAAATGCATGTGACATAATATGGGCAAATGTTCCAAGAGTGGAGTCTAGTAAACCTCCACTGGAAGGCTGCAGAGGGATATAAGGATGCTAGATTTGAGCAATGTATTCTCATGGCTTGTGGCGCTATCAAGAAATGGCTGCTGAAAAGTAACCTCATAGCATGGAAGGCTATCTGAATCAGGCTTTGGTTTGGAGGCAGGAATTACAGTCAGCTACCAGGAGGGAGAATGAGGCTATTTCCTCAGGCTATAAATGCTTGCAATAGTAACAAAGTTTGGAAATATTATTTTTTGGGGGGGATTTTAATCAATGGTTATGCTGTCTGTGGTCATGGTCTCCCTTGCTCAAGTTAGATGCATTGTCATTCTGCTTATCTTGTGGACTTCCTTTCAGATTTTGCATCTGTACATAAAAAATAGCATATGCAGTTGCACTTTACCAAAAAAAAAAAAAAAAGCAAGCAAGAAAGGAGAACATACATTAGTTAAAAAGTCAAACCAATTGAACTGCATAAATGGCTCCCTTTGTGTTCCTTTTTGCTAATGCATGTTCTCCTTTTTGGTAGCATGCCAGTGACTACGCTAAGTGAAGATTTATAAAATCATTCATAGTCTGGAAAAAGTAAGTAACAGTACAGAACTAGAACCTGGGACCATC